GAACCTACGTCCCCAGAAGCCGATCGAAGAATCCAGGGTGTGAGCCGTTGTAAGCTCACCCACTTGCAACAATCATGGGGCACCACTGAAAAATTCCAAGTTGAAGGTTTAGTTACGTATGGTTTAGTTGTAGTATACCTAGATCTTCCAACTATGCAACAATTATTTGCCTTTTTAGTGTAGAATAATAAAACCAGCCAAAAGGCAGACATTTTGATAGTTGGAAGATCTAGGTATAATTATTCTAGTGTTGTTGCTTTGTTGGTGAAGTGGTTTAATCAGTGCAACTCGACTCATCAGGAGAAGAGCTTTGACTCGGAAGGACGAAGCGCCAAGGGCAGACGAGATGTGACATACCCTATACCCGAACGAAGTCCAGTTCGACGATGACCGACTGAAGTGTTCAGGACATTCCTTGACTCGGGTCACCGAACTCATCGTCAGACGCTTCGGCCCCGGACCCCCGGACCGTGAAACGGTGGGGTGTCAGGTCCGACCCACGGCGGTCAGGGCGAGCTGGGCGAGCTGGGCGAGCCTAGACCCCTGGGAGTCCAGTCGACTGGTCTGACGATGACGAACGGTGACCCGAGTCAAGGAATGTCCTGAACACTTCAGTCGGTCATCGTCGAACTGGACTTCGTTCGGGTATCTGTTCCTTCGGGCCGGGATTCTTAGGGGGAAGGTTCGGATTGCTTTCGACCGTGCTTCCCCCCCCTTCAGCAGTCCTCTGAACGCCACTCGAGGCCTGTATCTTGATCGTCTTCCAGCCCTCTCAGCGGCGCCATGCATCGCCCGGGGCACGCGCGGAGGACTTGGTGAATCCGCTGCTGCCGCCCAAGCCCTTCGATCAAAAGCCAGAAGTCGAAAGCTCGGAGTCCGAGGAGACCACCCGATCGGCCACCGACCCGACCGCCGGTCACCCTAGGAGTCCAAAGACTATATCTTGACTGACTGAAGTAAAGGACATTCCTCTTCATGTCACCTAAATTACTATTCTTTTTATAGTCTTTGACTCCCAGGGGTCACGCGGCGGACGGGAGACGAGTCGACCGCACCGTGGAAGGAACGAGTCACGCGGCGAGGATCCCGAGGCTCCGAGACGTGAAGCTCGGCTGGACGGAAACGCCGGGGTCATCGCTGTGCCGGAGGGTTGGGGCGCCGTTGTGCCCCCAAAAAGACGCTCCACGATGGAAATATATAATAAACGACCTGAAGGTGTCCAGGAAAAACGGAAACATGTTTTTAAAAAAACGGATCCAAGAAAGCCCCCCTGCCCATCCCTTCCTTCCGCCTTGGCTCCTGCCATCCCGGCAGGAGGACACGCGAGGGACCTTAGGTCCCCCGGAGGGGATTCCGTGGAGCTTACGCGTCACCTGCGGATCTCCTCGCTGTGGATTGTCCGCCTCCCGGGCTTGTCGCGCGACGCGAGCGCCAGCGCGACGCGAGCGGTGTGGGGGGGGGGAAGAGCTCAGCGCCGCCGCCGGGCCTCAGGTGAGGGAGGAGAGGATTTTGGGAGAGACCTTTGGGCGGTGAGGCTAGAAGGGAGTGGCTTGAGCCCCTGGTTTTTTGAATGGATTAGTGTGAGATCCAGGACGGTCGGTCACTGAAGAACCAGGGTGTTGGTGAGCGAATCAACGAATCACCAGTCCCTAGTGTTAAAAAGGCATAAAAAGGCTACACCCCCTGGAAGAATCATGGAACCCAGACACGACCCATGGGACCGCCATAGGACTGCCGAGAAACGGCCAGGGGTGGTTGCCAGAGGGAGCCATTTGATCGGCAGTCCGTCATGGCAGTCCCAGACAGGTCGCGTCTGGCGAAGTGGGAGGACATGGTCCTCCGAACGAAAGGGGCCATGCCATCCACGTTGGCCCACATTGACTTTCGCACGGTACCGTGTGGTCGAAGGTCGCGCACAACTCGCCCGACTCTTCATCTCAGCCAGCACCAAGGAGTTCGGGTGGTTTTGTTTGAGCCCCGCTGGCGATGTATTTCCCTGGGAGTGTACCGAAGTTTGTGAACATCCTGGAAACTTCAGTCGGTCAAGGTCAATAGACTGTTGAACTGGATGTCCTTCCAATCACCACCCTTTCAATTGTGCATCGAATGGTTTCGTTGGTTTCCTTGTGCAAGCAAGCCATGTCAACCGAAGGCCCACTAAGCAGAAGGTTCTAACCGAATGCCACTTCGATGCTGAGGAAAGAGAATGGAAAGCCATGGGTGTCGATGAGTACCTGGGCGCCTGACTGGGCAGTTCTGACTTAGATGACCTGAAGTTCATAGCATCCTTGCTCCTAGTAGTAAGGCCAGGAGCCCCTAGGATTCTTGTTACTAGTATAGTAAGAATGTTCCTAGTAGCGATTCCCTAGTAATTAGCGTCCTTGTTCCTTCATCACCCCAAGCAGAACCATGTATTTGCCATGGCTGGGTCGGTACCAGGAAAAAGAATAGATTCTGAATAGATGTTTGGATCACGTCGGGGGCCAGTTGGCAAATGCAGGCTAGTGGCGAGTTGTGTTCATGTTCAACGTGGGATTCTTTACCACCAACTCATGTTTTTTTACGCGGGTTGAAACATGTTCAAGAACACCAACCTGAAGATCGTTCTATCCGTGACTAAAATGGCATTGTTGAGAGTTTAGAGGCTTTGGATTGAAGAAATGTGGAAAGATGACGTTTCTGGAACGAAAGATGCTGCCCGTTGACATCCCTACGTAGGCTGCACGTGGATGTTGAGGTTACTGCTGAGGTTTCGTGGGGACACCCCGGGCCTCCGGATGGGACATTGCAAGATAAATTTTGAAAGAGAGCAACAAAGAGAGGCATGCCGCAGCGTGCCTTGACGAGGTCTTACCAGGAGCCCCGCAAACCATCAAAAACCTGGTTTTCCCTAGCAAAAAACATGGCTTTAGTATGTGAAAACCTTTGTTTTTCATGGTTTTGAGGGCCCCCTGGTAACAACATGTTTTTTGGAGCTCACCTCCCGGCCAACGATGCCAACGAACCATCCTCTTAAGGCTTAATTGGGAGTCCATGAAATCCTAGGTATTCCAACTATGCCTTTATACATGAAAAAGGCTGAAATGGTTGATCCAGAGATGATGAACTTGGGATTCCGGTTACATCCTCGTCCTCGTCCCCTGTACCCCCACCAGACACGGTCAGTTGACAGTACCTCCACCGGACGAGCGACGCCGCGCGCGTGTTCGTTACGGCTCCTCGCGCCGGCGATCGGCGCGCGCCGACCGCGCTAAGCTCCTGGATTTGCGACGTCCACTTCAACGACAGCAGCGTGGACTCCAGTTGTTTGAACCGACGCGTCGAGGGATGAGGGCCGACGGTCCTTGGGCGACCGGTGAAGGACGTCTCGAGTCTCTGTATGGGTCAAATGGGTCAAATGGGTTAACCTGGTCAACTGACTCCCAGGGAGTTCTCATTCTCCCACTTTGGGGACCTCTAGGCCTTTGATTAGAGGCTCGATGGCGACCTCAAGATGTCCTTTACATGGGGGTTCATATAAACCACCGACATTGAGGTCTGTGGCATCTACTCTCAATCCACTATAAATAACCTCAAAGTTCGGTCACTTTGAAGGTCCTGCATGGTGTGTCCGTGTTGAGTTCTGTACGAGCTCATTCCCTGAAGCCGGTGACGCCGCCGAAGCGCCGTGCGCAAAAACCGCCGCGACCTCTCGCACGCAATGCGGCGACTCGAGTTGCAACGAGTGGCTGCGATGTTTGAATGAACTCGGTGCCGGCGCGGCGCTCGTGGCCACGTGTGCGGAATCCGTCCTGTCCATGTGTTGCTTCAGATTCGTCTCCCCAAGATGGGCGAAAAGAACATGTGCCATTCGCCCGGGTGTTTGACCTTGTTGGGACATAGAGACATCTCTCAAGTGGGGTGTTCGTAACAAGAAGCTACGAGGTTGGAGGCCATCGCTTTTAGGTTGGAGGCCTTGCCACTAGTAACAAAGTGACCAGTTGAGCAAGAAGAAACTCCCTGAGACACCGGCCACAGCGCACTCGGCTGCCTCCTTCGATGTTTCACTAGTTTAGTCGTTCTAGTTTGGGCTACTGCCTTCCCCCAGCGAAGCCGCAGAGATCTGAGTTCAGGAAGCTACTAGGGGCTCCTGGCATCGCTACTAGGAGCAAGGACGCTACTGGGGGCTCCTGGCATCGCTACTAGGAGCAAGAAGCTACTAGGGGACCAGCACCTTCTGTTCAGGGTCACTAGGCTGGAAGCCCCCACACAACTGGATCTCCATGAAACACCCCTTGAAGGTCTAGGAATGGATCTTGAGGATCTATGACAGTGAAAGCAGCAGCCCAAGAGGCAAGAGGTGGTGAAACTTGGCCATCGCACAGAAAAAGGCGCGCCGGCTGTGGCTGTGGTGAGGGGAATGGCACATCATTGGCACCCCTTGATAGAAGACGATCGTCGAGATCGGCCCTCCGAAAGTGCACACGCTCACATGAAGGTGGTGTGTCATAAAGGACGTTCATTCCACAGGTGTTTGGCACTGAAATGAAGAAAGAGGAGAGGTGTAAAAAGAAGAAGGACATCCTACGTTACAGGTCAGACTCGGCGTTCTTCCCTTGTGTTGTCCCGTCCCTTGGCTCTTGAGTCCCTGTCTCACCATGTCCACTGCGGATCGCTGGCTTGACTCGTGGCTGGGGTTGAGAGCGAGGCTTTGGTGCATATTCAGCACCGCGGAGTCCTTCTGAAAAGGTACGCCAAACGCGCATCATTCACAACCCCTAGGGATCCAAGTACCTTCTCAGAAGGTGATTGGAGACTATGTATGTAGGCTTGGAGGGCCCAAGTACTTCCTGAGAAGGTATGTGGATCCCTTGGGAACCAAACTGTGCCAAGCTGGTTTGCATGAGGGAAATCCATTCGACTGGAAGGTTTTTGGAATGTTGTTGATCAGGGAGGTCTCCAGCGGCCGGCAGAGACCCCAACTTTCCCTTTCTGGTGTTCCAGCCTGCCGCGCTTGCCAGTCCTTGCTGCAGAACCGCTCGGCAGTCAGATGGCTTAGGGGATTGCTGGATTCCATGTGCAGTGGGGGTGTGCTGGATTGTAGAGATGACACTGCCAACATTGATTTGGTCAGTCGAGTCACATGGAGTTGGGTGGGTGGTTTTGGGTCCGCTGAGCCGTTTTTGTGGATGTTCTCAACCCTTATTCGCTACTAGTAACAGGTGCATCGCTAGTATACCTAGATCTTCCAACTATGCAACATGTTTGCCTTTTGGTTGGTTTTATACACTAGTTGGAAGATCTAGGTATAGTAACAAGTGCCTTACTAGTAGTAACAAGAAGGGGCACCTGCACTCCTTCCTCCGTGCGGTTCGGCCGCCCGAGCGACCTGTTTACTGGTGGGTGGGTGGCAGTTCTGGTCATTCCCAGACGCGACCTGTCTGGGACTGGCATAGGACTGCCAATCAATTGACCCCTTTTCAACCACCCCTGGCCGTTTCTCGGCAGTCCTATGGCAGTCCCATGTGTGTTTGGGATTTGGATTCCTTCAGGCTTTCTTCGAGAACCATGGCCCTTTGGAGCATGCAAGAGTACGTGTGTCGAAACGGATGGAGTCGGCATTGGGGTTGCCCCGGAGCCGGGGTGGATGAAGAACCCCCCAGAATTGGCCAACGACGGGGGCAACCCCTACTTGGGTGCACCTTTGCTCCAAGCTTGAAAACAGATCGAGAATCTCGCTCCAATTGTTCAGACATCCACAGTTCCGCATGAATTCGATGTACCAGCTTCTTCAGTTTTGTGACCGAACTTTGCAGTCGGTAGCCATGAATCGGTCGACAGTCGACAAGGTTCGTGACCTCCAACCCCACCCAGGGGTACTTCGTGCTTCGGTCACGAACTGAAGAACCTGGTCCAACAAGGATCTCGTCGAGCGCACGCTCCAGTGCAGTCGATCCACCGAGCGACCTCTTCCCCGCTTCAGGTGGCCCAAGCGATGCTGGCGCAGGGCGGGCGCGTGAGCGTCGAGGCATGGTGGAAAGGGGGTGCAAGGGCGAAAGCGACCCGGGGAGGGGTGAAAGCTGTGGCTTTGGAGGGGATTCCGGTTTGGCGCGAAGGGTTTGGAGTTCATCGATTTCGAGGGGTTTTTTGGTTGAGCGAAGGAAGAAGCCAAGCGAAGGGAGGTTTGCATTCATGGTGATTTGCAGGCCGGCAGGCCACGAAGGCGAAGAAAGTCAATGCTTTGTGTGCCATGTTCACTGAGTGTTGCCAGTGAGATTTCAAGTTTGGATACTTGATGCGCTGCGTCTTGATGCGCTGACAGGGCAGTTCGTTGACCATCCGATTTGCTCTTTGTACATTGATACGACGGGACCCGGCAAACTCTGTCGTGAACCGGTGTTTTTGTTCCGCCCAGGGGTGTCTGGCGTTGTGGTCCTTCAACATGCCGGGCATGTCTCCAGCGAAAGGGCTTGTCAGCTGACGACATGGAGGATGGTACAGAGTACAGAGCCTCACCATGCATGGCCATGCATTTGACATATCCGCTAACTGGGCTTTTTCTGAGAGCAGAACATCTCTTCAAGACATTGCTGAGACAGCCTGGTAAGATCGGAGCGGGTGTGTACATGCTAGCAATGCTCTCATAAGAACATCCCCGCATGTTCATTGATTTGCAAGTAACCACTCAAAGTGCAAGGTGAATTTTCTACAATCTACCAGCAAGATTAGCTTCCCACATGATCCTCTAGCGCGATGGGTGCTGCTTCTCTGTGCCTTTGCTCTGAGGAGGACCGTCGGGCCGATGCGTGTATGATGTGGCGCTGGCGCATGGGCGGTTTGGGAAGAAGATGATGTGCATCGAAGCCAACCAAGCACAGCTTGGGTAGGGAGTTGGAACCCTCCCTACCCATCACACCACCTCACCAGCGAATGGAATGAAACATGACGAGCAACTCCGAGCAACTCCCAGAGTCTGATCGGTAATCCTAGTCCCCTCAACAGCCATGGTGGTCCGTGATTCTGCTACTCCCGCCCCAAACCCAGGCTGGCCGGCTGGTCTCTTCTTCCTCTAGAAACCAAGCACTCGATCGATCTGGACGTGCGGACGATGCCGGCTTCTCTCACCTCATCAGTCACCGTCTGACCTGTCACCATCGATCGTGACCTGCCGGCAGCGGAGACCTGTCACCATCGGAGATCCGTCGGAGACCTGTCTCCACGTCGCGAACTCCACGGGACGACTGGGACGAAGGGGCCGTGGATCCCGAGTGTCGGGCGAGTGGAGTTCGCGAGTGCCGCTGGACGGTGCAGGAGGGCCGCCATGGCATCCATCGGCCCAAAAAGACCGAGGCGGGGATCGGCGGGAAGAGACGTGCCCCAAGTGTCCAAGGGAAGTCCACAAGTCAGGTAGACGGATGAATAGGGGTTTGCCCACTTGAGATTTGGAACCAAGAATTTGTATCATTGTAAGTAGAGTTTAGTACCAGGACTCTCCAAGGGGTCACCAATGGAAGCCCCTACACTACCTAATATATAGGCTTCCAGACAGGGCACCCTTGGAGGGTCCAGGTAGAGGCTAGTCCATTTGACACCCCTTTTGGATGGGTTGACCGTTCGGCCCCTGTTTGATCCACAGGAGCCGAATCTCCGGTTCGGCTCCTCAGGTGTGGCCATTCGGAGCCGCCCAATGCCATCAAGATCCATCAAGTAGAGCCCTAGAACCTGATGGACCCCTGTCTTGGAGCCAACACATGGTCTTTTCATATCAAAACAGAGGTCAAATGGGTTATAGGAGTAGAATCAAGTCCCCTCAAAACCCGAAAGAAAGCAGAACTTTCGCTCTGGAGCTGCTCCAAAATTCGAGGCATCCCTTCGTGCATCCCTTCGATCGACCTGATTGGGGCGAGGGTCGCCCAAAGCGTTGGCCACCGTTGGAGCACACAGTGCATCTCATAGAACCCAAACACGACACATGGGACTGCCCTAGGACTGCCTTCAAAACGGCCAGGGGTGGTGCCGGTCCCACCGTTGAAGGGCATAACAAACATAGAAATCCATTCCCAAACACGACACATGGGACTGCCATATCTATGCCGATCAGGCCAGGGTGGTGCCAGGTTCAATCGGATGCTCATGTGACGACCACATCACATGAGCCCACGTGGATGGCGCCCGTTGGATGACTGTTTTTCTTACTATAGCGAGTCTGTCCACTTCCATGTGATGTGTTCACCGGGTCAAGTTCATGACCCCCAGCCTTCACTTGAAATCGTTGACTTGGTCGCACAAATCCTTCATTAAACAATCCCAGACGCTCCATGTATGCCATATATGGCTACATTGACCCCCAAAACCACCCCCATGTAGACAAATATTCCATACATGGAGCGTGTGGGAATGGTTGCTTGGTATGGACGCATCCGAGCCGAAGCAACCGAGGTTGAAGAACCCTAGTTCGACATGTTTGCCTCGGATAGCAGGGCAGATGCGTGAAGTCGCACACGGAGTGTTGGATGGAGGGCAGGTCGTATGCCCTTTTTCATTCAGAGGGCACGGTACTGCAAAGCTAAAAAGGTTGGTCACGAAGAGTAAGCTTGACTGAAAGCATGTCCATACCTAGATTTTCCAACTATGCAAAATGTATGCCTTTTGGTTGTATAAAACCAGCCAAAAGGCATAAATGTTGCATAGTTGGAAGATCTAGGTCTTAGAAACCCGCAGGTGATCCCGTGTCCTTTTTCAGGTCGACGACGAGTCGCTCACCTCTCTCTCTCTCTCTCTCTCCTCTCTTTGTCGCCGAGGAGCTCGAGCCGCCGGCGGAGAATCTGGTGCTCCAGGTCGAGAAGTGCTTGGCAGAGCCCAAAAGGTGACCCGAAGATGCACGCGTAGTGCATTGATCGAGAGTGGGCCTTCCCGTTTGGACGTGTTCACCTGATTGGGCGGGCGAAGAGTCGTCAGACTTACATGCAGCACATTAATGCATCAATGATTCCATGATCACAGATCATATCTCAGACACACCAGGTATACCATTCTTACACATTATGTGCCTACATTGGGGTGGTGTGGGGGTTCGAGGTAGGCATATGTTTCATACGCCCTACAAGTCAAAAACCTCATGTTACTGGATATGGTCATATAAAGCCAGTACTCAAGGAGGTGAAGGACCGGGTTTGTCGCTTGAGGCTGAAGCCCCTGCAAGGGCCCTGGTATCGCAAAGATGGAACCAAGATGGGAGACATTATCGAGGACTTCTTCCTCTGGGATAGCAGGTTGAAAGCGCCTTGGAGGCACCGATGTCGCGGCTGGGTAGCAGCCAGCTACGGATCGCATGGTCCGGTGGCAGGAGGACGAGAACCACTGGGAGGCAGCTAAGGATTTGGACCCGATCTTTTCCCGTCCACTCATGAAAAGAGGCCTCAGAATGCCTCAGAGCCAGGAGCAGCGACTCCCTGCGCAGCGACTCCTGTGTCAAACCTCAACCGGTATTTCGTCCAAAGATCACTGCCAATGGACGAACAAAGACCAACCGGAATACTGCAAAGGAATCCTTCGACACCAGTTGTCAAAGGGACACGGACGGAACTTTTGTCTCCACTGCTTGTGAATCACGAAGGACACGCACTCAGCGCTTTATTTCCATGTATTGACACCATGAACACAAGTGGTGCGTGTCTTTGTTGCATACAGGACCCGACATGCAGTTGGAGGACAATTTCGAATACAAACAGAATATGTATCATTTTGAATATCAATTGGAATACTTGTCACAGTCCAGAAATCATTGAAAGTCGAATGGCTTTCTTCCATAGACATGCAAAGACCTACTGGCCATACTGGCGACTATAACCCAACACGCAACCACTCAAATGTTGTAAAAGTTGGTTGTTCACGCATTCTTAAAGGCCAACAGCAATGGCTCCAATGGCTGAAAGCACAAAACGAAAACTACTAGGGGCTCCTGGCCTTACTACGAGTGACTAAGAAGCGGCCCGAACGGAGCCTCCGAAGCTTCGGCTTGGACTCTTCAGCACCGAGGCGCAGAGCGTTTCGACGCTGAATTGGTCCAATGATCTTCTTGACATGGACATCGATGGGATGAAATATGAGGCCGCCAGGACCCGCCAAGATGCAGCTGAAGCTGATCGATTGCTGGAATCGGACTCCGACGCTCAACATACGCGTGGGAGATGTGGCGCCACAGCACTGCAAGAGGGGTCAAAGACGTTCAGTAGTGCCTTTTTCGACAGGGTGCAGCTCCACGCGCCAGGCAGTGGTCAGTCTACATGCCCAAGCGACTCTGAGTTGGTGTGATGGAGATGTTTGGGTTCTCAAATGAGAATACCATGCCGTCAGGGAGTGCGGTCCACGTGCACACATGCGCGCGCACCACACCATGCCGTCAGAGGGTGCAGTAACTCCTAAGACACTTGGATCCTTTTCGGGGGAGATGGATCTGCCCTGTCCTACAAAACACACGCCCCGCACCGGCGATCTTCCGAAGCGCGCGCGGGTGATCCAAGCGTGCCAAGTGGAGGAATGGACAAATCTTCCAGAAAGGGACCACCTTGTTCCACCCCCCATGTGGGAGGCCCCACATATTTTTGCAGACACGTCTCATAGCTCTCTAGGGCTATTTTCTGTGATTGGAGACGGGCGCAGGAAGATTCAGATATCTGCTAGCTTCCACCACTGAAGCATGTGTGTTGGTCAATAAATTCCAACACCTCTAGCATCCTTCAGCACTGCCGGGAGTTGCGCCAGAAAATCGCTGCGAGAGCCGCTGCTTGGACAAAGATGGCCATGCGTTGGACATCTCGCTTTGGGCTTTTTCTATTGAACCGCTCACCTCTTCGAGACCTCTGAAAGCCGAGGTCAGAGCCGGTGCGTACATGGTACATGCAATGAACATCCACCAGGACCTTCCCAGTGACCCTTTGAGATCCCAGAATGAGGTCACTTAGGTCTTGAAAGGTCACTTACCAATCCTGAAGAGGTCACTGAGAAGGTCCTGGCACGTGGTTTTCA